TCATCGTGAAGCGATTTGCAAAGATATAAAGTTTAATAAAACGTTACACTCACTTCAGTTGTTCTAGAGGTTCAGCAGGAACACGAATATCTGGTACCGATCCTTTTTTCATGAGCAGCTTCTTAGCAAAACCAGCTTTATACTGACCCTCGTTTATAAAGCAGTCTGCTGAGAAATGATTCACGCAAACATGAGAGCATTGACGTTGCTCGTGGGGAATATTCCCTTCGAAAACAAACTCAGCCACTGCGTCTTCAGCGGTTCGAATTTAGGAACATTAAAATGACTGCTGTGTTCGTTATTACACCCAAGAACAGAACACCACAATCGCTTAGACGCCATTCTGCTCATAGACAGTGCTCCAGCATATCAACAATGACCGCGCCGGTCCGCGTGGACTATGATTGACAGCTCGCTCATGAGCGAGGGCGGGTCTGTGTTGAAACGCTGCTGTCAATCAACAATAGTGGGAGGGGCGTCCGACCGTGTGATGTCACACGGTCGAACGGCTCGATTTGAGGCAGGGGAAAACATATAAGGAGATTAAAACAAAACCACTGGATGGATTTTTATCATTATATGATGGTTGTGTACAGGCACTGCCAACACACATTTCAGTACAATCAACTTGAAAAAGTGCATGTACCATTATATGACCCCTTTAAACTCGGTGCTTAGCGTCTACGTCGGGGCTCCCAGCCCGCCCTCTCTTCGTTGATTGGCCGGCTGTTTTCAGGCCGCAGGAAAACTGAGAGACATGTCGATGTACAGAAGCGAACTGAAATAGAGCGGAAGTACGAAGTCTGACGCAGTCAGGCTAGGCCTGTATACAGTAGCAAGCACATATCTAATGTGACCCACATACAGAAATTTATAGCATAGCCTACATGGTTACATACACTACATCTGTTTGCATAGCCTTTAAATGTGAACATTGTTTTTATTATTATGTTTTTAAATACATTTAAAATAATGTAAATTTAAAAATTAAAGCTCCAGTCGGCAAGTCTGGCAGATTGAGTGGATTTAGGAAAATTTTGAATGTTTACAACTCTCATGCCCCTCCTCCACTATCAACGGATACCCTCCCACCCAGTTCATGCTCGTCAGTGCCAGCTCTGGTCAGTGCGTGTGCACCAGATTTTCAGTGAACGTCAGGGCTCTCAAGTGTCACGCATTGAGCGTGACAGTCACTCATTTCGGTCTTTTGTCACGCTCTCCCGCCACACATTGTATTTCTCACGCTGAAAAACTATTTGTAATATATTTAATATGCCGCAGCGGCAGCGCCCAAAACTCTGGCCGCGCCGCTCTCACTGTGGAACCGGCATGAATCAAGCGTGTTTCCTCTGGTGTTGTTCGTCGAGCTACACAATAGCCAATCAGAAAATATCACTATTGTATCTGGGTAACATTAAACGCAACAACCAATGACAAAAATGTATCCAACCCCCCCGTCGGCTGGGTGTCACTCTTACCTGTCTTCAAAACTTGAGAGCCCTGGAACGCGCCCGTCTCATCAGCATCCATCAACACCATGGAGTATTTGGAGGTATGCTGTCCTGGCTAATGTACCGATAGATTGCATTTGCTGACGTCATTTATACTCTAAATGAGCTTACTTGATTTTCCGCCATCACTCGTCGTTACTGCGCGAACTTCCGCGAACTTCAGGCGTGTGCATGTGATTGTAACGTGCGCGAGGGGTGGCGTGTGCCCGATCTGTGATTGACAGTCAGATCTCACACCCCCCTGCGCTGATTGGACATGATGAACCGGGAGCTGTGGATTTTTGCAAAACAAATAACAAGCTCCAGGTGGAGTTAGAAGCTCGGGTTTTTTTCTAAAACCACTTTATTTATGTTGTTCTGTCGGATTATAGTGTCGATTTCACTGAATATGATCAAAAAAATGTTGCCGACGGCAGCTTTAAACCAAATAGAAAATTTTAGAAAATACTGAGACATTACCTCAGTATATTCCAATTTAAAACAGATATTGTTACTTTTTTTGTTGCCATATCACTGTATTTTAGGGTGTATTCACACCTGCCTTGTTTGGTTCGATTGAATCGAACTCTAGTTCGTTTCCCCCCTTGGTGCGGACCTTTTGGGCAGGTGTGAATACAGCAATCGAACTCGGGTGCGGACCAAACAACCGAACCGAGACCAAGCTGAAGAGGTGGTCTCGTTACGGTTCCAAACGAACTCTGGTACGGTTCGTTTACGGTGTGAACATGAACCTACCCAATTGCAAGAAAGCACTGCGCCTTTGAGTTAACAGGCTTCCGTAGTCGGAGTTGCATTATGGGAAAGTGATCTGTTGTAGCCTACTACATTTGATAAAATGAGTCGTGGTTTGACCTGGAGCTTCGAAGAGACGAGCTGCCTTATTAACATTTGGGCAGATGCCCATGTAGCACAGAATAACACAAAATTAGTAAAAGAACAAATATTGCAGTACGAAATATCTCCATGCTGAGCCTTTTTTGCACTTCCTGATTTCCCTACTTGAGAATCATTGTCCAATGAATGGACGACCTTAGCACACGTGTGGTTTTGTTTACAAATTTTGGTTCACTTGCAAAAAGAGCAGTGTGAAAGCGAACCGTACCAACATTTTTTTATTATTTTTTATTATTTGGTCCGGACCAAAGCAAGTGAACTATTGGACTTTCCTGGTGTGAATACACCCTTAGTAACTGACTGATGTTTTTCCTTGCAGGAAAATAGTACATTTGCTGTGTGGTAAGTGTTGTTTTGTGGGACACACCAAGTAGATTTAAGTTTTCTCTTGTGAGTTGAATGAAATATCCAGCATAATGTCCTTTATCTCTATCTCAAAATCAACACAATTTTTGATTCAATCCAACATTTAAATATGCTTGTAATTTATGAAACTTTGCAGTGTATATTTAGTGCGGAACTAAAGTAATCGACAGATTAGTTCATTTTAAAGGGAGCACTCTTTGTTTTTAATCTGTACATAACTCATTCACACGTTGAATAAATGTTTTATTTTTCATGCTGCTTAGTACCCTGAGTTCTGCACTCATGTGAAAATTCCTGTTATAATCAACAAAATTGGCTACGCTGCACAAAGAATCTCTCAAAATTTCAGACCTGATGCCAACGGATACTTTTGAGAAAATAATCTAAAATAAATCACAAAGGCTTGACAAAAGTTTCCAAAAACAGTTTTACTAATAAAATATATAACTTGAATTCACTGTAAGTTAAAGTTCACTGAAATGTGGAGTTATTTAATGCAAATAAGCAATACAGAAGCAAATTCAAATGACTAAACAATTACACAAGACATGGACTGCTTCCAGAGGAAATAATATCAAAACACCCACCATGTGCTCAGAGGTTCATCTATACATTCATCCACAAATACACATAACTCTAATCATCTTGCAAACATTTTTTTGTCAGTTGTAATTTGTTGTGCACTTTATGGACAAACTAAAACTTTTATTTAACCAGTGTTTAAATTCTTAAACCATGCAACTTGTTTTTGTAATTGGTTTTATGTAGTGCAATGATTATATAGGTCATCAAAGAAGGTTTATCTGTTTAATTTTACATCCAAATACCAGAATTTGGCATCGTATCTAAACCAAAATGTATATATTGAACCTGCCCTAAATTGTTCTTACATGTTGTATTTGATATGATAAGCAGCATTCAGAAACTGGGAAATCAAGAACAAATGATGAGCAGAAAATAATCTTGATCATCTTAAAGCTGCAGTAGGGAGTTTTGAGAAAACGTTGACTTAGCCTGAAAATTTGAACAAGCACAACTTAAAGGTCCCGCCCCCTTGCTCTCTGCTGCGCTACAGCCCTCCCTCCACAGCTCGTCCTCCACAGCGGAGCCTGTCGTGAACGCGCAGGCTAGTAAACAGGGCCACCGATAACAGCGGATAAAAAGTTATATGGCACATTCACTAATAGGGACTAAACGTCAATAATATGCTTTACATTGACTATGGCCTGCCCATACTTTGACTACAAACTTGGTCCTCAAATCATTATGTATTTTGCAATAGCCTACATGTAACTTTATAACGTTGCACTCTTTCTATAAGTTATAAATAGCTAGTAAGATAACGTTAATATAACGGTAACTAACGTTACAGTATGTAAGTAATTATTCTATCGATATATAATGCTAGATAAGGTGTGCTAGTACATTATTTCAGCAACATGACAAGCCAGTGAATTAGCAGGTTTCAATTGTTGCTTAGCAGAGTGCGTGACATTTTATCTACATGTTATGCGGCTAGAGTTTTGACACCGAGTCAATGGGCTCTGTGTAATTCTTTCTTTTTCGTTTGTTTATCGTCATCGGTCTTCTTCCTTTTACCTCTTTGTTTTATGAGCAGGTGTCACTCGAGAATTGGCATTTTAGGTTGTTTCTCCTTCATAAGCACAGCTGCAGCACGCCGGCAATCTTGAGTTTGAACGACGGCTCGCGCTGTGCAAGAGAGGGGTGTGATCAGCGCGTACACGAGCGTGATTGACACTGCTAAGACACTCCTCTCGGCTCTGATTGGTTGTTTCTGACCGGGAGCGTGTATTTCTTGCAAATGGCAATAGGACCACTAGGAGGAGCCAGAGGAGCTTGATTTTTACACAGATTATCTGTCTCATATTCTACTGTCAGGACATAATGACAGTTTTAGCAAATACATGTTTTCAAAAGTTACCTACAAGAGCTTTAAATGGTTCAACACAATAATTCAAATTCTGTTATCCTATTATCTTCTGTGCACCAAAAAAATCATGCAGTTTTGAAATTACATGAGAGAGAATAAAATATTTTTTAATTTGTGGGTGAACAGCCCTTTAATAATATTTCCTCTTTTTCACATATAAATTAAATGTGTTAACTTGCATTTACTTAAACCATGCATGTTGCAGATGATCAACCATAAAGGTTATATACTTAAATACACAACAAAATATCTTTTTTTTTTTTTTTTAAATGTATAGTATAATCTTATATATAAATATGTACTGTATATTTTAGCAGCCATCTTTCATCATTTGGAATTATAACTTTCAGAAGGACATTTTAATTATTAAACAAGTGTCAGCATGAAGAACCAATGCACGTGTTAAGTCATTAGAATAGCAGTTATTGGCACATAACTAAATTAGAATCAAAGTGCATCACATCTGTAATGTGTATAAATGTAACGTAAATTTAACCTCTGTCAGTACTTGAGAGAAGTGACACATTTCAAAACCGTTTTAACACCTTTGACAAAAGGCCGCTGAGAGAAAATGTAGTGTCCAAAGAAAAAACGGTGTCAAGACCCACTGACTTAATGTGCATTAATTCCATTAGCAGCTCTCTCAGAACTATTGGAGAACTGAAATGAAAGTCTTCTACAAGAAAAATTGTAAGTTTTTCTGTCAAGCTCACATTTCCTCTTCTGCTTTCAGCACTCTTCAACTTCATCACAGCATTTTGAATGTTTATCTTCAGTAGGTCTACTGTCATACACTTTATTTGAAACTGTTTTCTGAGCAAAGAATCACTGTCCGTTATCAGCTCTTGGCTTGATAGTTGCACATGTGTAAAAATCCTTGCCAGATGTAACTTGTATGAATCTATTGCATTGTCAGCCTTTTCTAGATCAGCCAGTGCTTGTGTGATATAGCCAGAGTCCTTCTTCATAATAGTGGCTAATGCTCGATTATAGACAGGAACAATCTCCCCGCATGCACCGCCCTCCAAAGCTTTAGTATACATCTCAATGCTTTCTGCCAGGCGTCCCTTCTCACGGAGATTGTTTCCAGACCTGATGTAATAGTAGACCATGGTGGATGGGGACCGTTTACTAAAAATGTCCCGCTTTGCAATCAACAAGTCCCCCTTCAGCTGTTCCTTCAGTGTCTCAATGGATGTGTCTTTAGTTGAGTGAATCAGGAGCCACAAACCCCAACACTCATGAAGACAGGACACAATTACATCACGCTGGTCAGAGAAAACATCATCTTCATAAATTTTGTCCAACTCGCCAAGGTAAACAGAAAACAGCTCTTCCTTTTTAGTGATTTTTGCAATGTCTTTTTCAAGTAAGCTAGACAGTCTAATGTTCACCAGAATGTTCCTGGCTTCTTTTGCCTTTTTCAAATGACTGTCTTGTGGTGAAAATGATTTCATGGTTAAAAGGTCTTTCAAAGCAGAGACCATTGCCTCATAATTATAAAAGCTGTGATTTGTCAGGTAGTGATTAACCGCTTTCTCAAATGCACTCTCTGTAAAATCACATGACATCATTCTAGATAAAAGATGGTTCAGATGGCTGAGTACGCTGGTGACGGATGCATTTAGGCTCATCACTAGGTTAATGGAATCAGAGAAATGACTGGTGCACATGATGAGTTGAGCAGATCCTGGACTCCCTTGGCGAGCCGTTCGTCCAAAGGCTTGATGTTCAACACGGATGTTCAGAGGTAAGAAGGTTTGGACCACAAACAGACCTCCTGCCTCATTTACACTTTCACAGACCTTTAGATCTGTTCCTCGACCCGCTAGATTAGTTGCAATGATGACATCTCCGGCTTGGACTGTTGAGTCTATTATTGTAGAGTTGTTCATATTGTTATTCACATAGAGTTTTAGTTTGTGTTTTGAGATAGAGCCTACAAGGGCCCCTTGTAACGTTTCTGCACGGTTGATTGTTTCACAGATGATGAGAGCTGCTCGTGGACCTCGATAGACTGTGGAAGTCACTTGATCCCAAACAACATCACAGACGGTCTTGATCCACTCGACCTCTTCATGTATCACCATGCCTTCCAGCTCATAAAGTTTCCTTTGTCGAAATGAGGGAATCTTACAGGTGTCAATATCACCGTAGAGCTTCTTCAGCATGTCAAGTTCTGTTTGGTCACCCAAAGTTCCCGTGATCCCATAAATCTGGTTTGTGTATTTTTTGAACAATCCTACATTCGACATGAAGTTTGTGATTAGACTCATGTTGGACAGTTTAGTTTGGTGTTTCATCTCCAGAAACTGCTGAAGTCCTTCTCCCCATCTCATGTTGTTCTGCACAACACCAGTGAATTTATAATCTACTGGAACGACTCCATCTCCATGAAGGATGTATTCGTGGCCCAGAGTCATTTTGGTTGCTTGCAGAGCATTTTCAATCCAGGTTTGTACCTTGCCATTGATGAGCTCTTCAAGACCCGGAATATGACATTCTCTTTGTTCGTTTGTTGATTCAGACACTTTCATTTTACCCAATGACTGAACTAGTGAGTCCTCGTCATAGTACACTACACGACATTTTCCATTTCCAAGGAGAAGAACGGATATTTCTTGTTTCTTATTTGTACCTGTGGGATTAATCTCATTCAGTTTCTGTAAATTCCCATCATGCTCTTCCTGGTAAAGTATAAAGAAATACTCTGGGAAGTTTCCCATAAACTTGGTTAAAAATGCTTTTGTTTGGTTAACACTTGCATTATCTAGTTGTTTTGCAGCATCTAAAGTATTCTGCACAATACTGAGTTGATCAGTGTTTTTATTATCATTCATGATTTCAGACAGAAACTGAGAGAAGAGCCGAGGGGGGCCTAAAATCTCACCAGTCCCTAAACGTTTCAGCTGGTTGATGATCAACCAAATTTCGGCTAGTATTGCATTCAACGGTTCCATAAGAGGTATATTACTATTCAAGTAGACAACTTCAAGACTTTTGTCCAACATTAGTGAGTCCACCTCATCCACTATAACACACTGAAACTCTCTCTTAGGTCTCACATCTTTTCTATGGAAGCGCTGTCTCAGAAAATCACCTGCAAAACTGTCAACTGTTCCATAGACCACCTGGCAGTCATAGCACTTCTTCAGCTCTTTGTCAATTGATTTATTAGTGTTGACGTCAACAGTGATACCTAGTTCCTTATAAAATGCAGACCATTCTTCAGCGTCTCTTTCAGCAAGTACAGGAGAACTGGAGATGATATCAGGTTTTTTTTCTCTCTTCAGGACCTGATATGCAGCAAACATTGCTACGATGCACGACTTTCCTTCTCCTGTTAAAACCTGAACGAGCCGACTTGATTTAGAAAGAACGAGAATGCACCAGCTCACCATCTGAGTGAGTCGAGGTGTTATTTTGTTCTTGCTCTTCCTTTGCACTGCTTTGCAGAGCTTGAATAAAATTAGCTTTATTCCTTGTAGATGTGGTGCTGTAGAAGCTGATAGACAACCTGACACAGAGGACACAATATCTGTCACTTGTGCCATCATTTCTTCATCAATACTTCCTTGTTTACGAATTTCCTCCACAATATCTTTCAGTGTTTTATCACCAGTATTTTTGACCACGTCATTAATTTTGGCCTCAACATGATCTACAATCTTATCATTCAATGTCAAATCTGACACACTTATTTTGTGAATCTGTACTTGATGAAGAATTTTCATCATCCATGAATTAAAATCTTCATTCTTGGCTTTAAATTGCTCCACGAGGGCTTTAAACAATTTAACAACATCATCCTTTTCCCATTGTCCGTCCTTCAGCAGGGAAATAAGTTGTGCTGATAACGGTTTTCCTGATGCCTCCATTTTCAAAACTCTTGATATTTTTCACGGTGCAGCATTACTGTCTATTTAAAAAATAAACAAAGTAAAATAAACTAAATTGCATAAGCAAAACTATATATACACATACTGTGTATTAGGGGTGTGACCAGATTTCGTGCCGCAAGATTAAAATGTGATGATTTCTCGTTGAGGTGAAAAGCTGTCTCACGATATTGCCATGACGAAGTGTGAGGGTGAAGTTGAGATAGAATAAGCCACTGCTACGTGTACATTACGCCAATGTCGTTTAGCTTGTTATAGAAATAAAAACCATTTAATTTAGTTGGATAACAGTCGCTTCAATTCCATTCAGCTCATCCAACACGAGCTGCTGAGTCGTACCTAGTGTACGCACATTTAGATAGTATTTCCATAACCTGCATTGGCTCCATGTTGCATGCGAATATCTCCCTATATGAAAGCTATCTAAGGCTGGGCTTTGTAGTTGTAACCATCTCTGAGCTGTTGTATCATGCTTCAAGAAAAATTTGGTCTCTATCGCACTTTGAATGTTGAGAGAGTTCTTTGATTATGGTTGCACTTATTGTTTTGCACTTACGACTAAGAAAACTGTTATTCATTCTTATTTATACTGTTTTCATTTCTATGATCAATTTGTGGAAAGGAGTTCAAGTTAAAAGAGGTCAAAAGTTGTAGAAGCTCATAAATCATGTACAGTAATGTCTGAAGAGACTTGTATGAAATCATACAGAAGAGAAGCCCGTCAGTATATGCTTATATATTGTTGTCTTTTACTGCATATGATAATTTATACTCAGAAAGTAGAACTTAATTGACATGCATTACAAGATAAGTTAAAACATTTCAAATGCACCAGCAGACTATTTGTCTAGTCATATATTTCGTCATTGAGGATTTCTTAAAAAATACTGTGCAAAAATCTTGTCTCGTTTTCGTGAACTCGATCTCGTGTCTTGTCAAAAGCTAACTGTCTCGTCACACCCCTACTGTATGTGTGTGTGTATTCTACATAAAGTGTAATGTTGTTTAGAAGTGTATTCTCAAAGTATTTTATTCAAAATGTCTGTTCAGAGCATGTATTTATAATACTTACATTCATTGAGATCATATTGTTGAGATGCTGTCAAAGCAAACCTCTTCTGGAGTCATTAGTGAAAAGTCAAGGTAGGTGCATTATATCTGGATAAGAAGAGGACGTCTTTTATGCTCTGGAATTTCCCAGATTATTATTTGTTTTTGGTTTGTCACATGATTGGAAAGAACATGAGCTATACTTTTGGTAAGAACCGAAACTACAATTGTTTCCTTGTTCCCACAGGTGATCCTTTACTGACATGCTATTTTTGGTTTAGAAAATTTGACTGGCATGACTATGCTGGTTTCTTTTTCCACATATTTTATTTTGTTTTTCAGACATTCTTCTCTTATCATCCTGCATGCTTTTATAAAACAATAAGGTTGTTCTATATGTGGCGATCGCCAAAATAAATAAACCAACTACGCCACCCTGGAGGCTTACTACCAGGGAATCGCCCTAGACAAACTAGGAGCACACAAGGCTCACAGCCTCATTTCGGTTGGAGTCAGGCAGGAGACATGGGTGAGGTATACAAACAATAAAATCACTTTATTATATAAAATATAAAAAGACCGGAGTTCTCCCGCGACACTGAATTTGTTATTAAAAATGATAGCCTACAAATTGTCTGTGCACTGATTTGTAGCGAAATTGAAAAAATAAATAAACAGTTTATGCAGGAAATGGTTGGGAAGACGAGGGGAGCAAGGACTGTGTTTTGCAAAGAGAGTTGGGGGTAAATAAATAATTTTGCAAATGTCCTGCTGTTGCTGCTGGTCATGCAAATGTGTGTGCTTTGTTTCTGTTTGATATAATTGTAAATATAGGCCTATCTATTAAAATACTGATATTCTGGTCTATAACTCCTCCTCCCTGTATCTTGCTCTCTCATTGGCTGTCGGTCATCGCCGATGTAGTTTTCAGTCAGAACACATTCACACAGCAGGATTGTGAATCGCCTACATAAAACCGATTCTCTCAGATCGCGTCTTTGCTCATTCACACTGCGTGATTGTCACTCGCACCGATTTGCCTGTGATTTCGGGCATTTGTCTGCGATTTCTCAAAACCTGTCGGCGAGCCAAAATCGGGGCTAAAATCGTGCAGTCTGAACTCGGCATTACCATAACCGCCAGTTTAACACACTACTAACTAACTCAACCAGGCCCCGCCCCTTTATTAAGCATATTAATTATTTAATTGAGGAATATTGTGACGTGTTCGTTCCCGGAAGAAACTCGAGACTACAATGGAGGCGTTTCAGGGAGTTGTGAAAGATTATTAACATTAGTGTTTCGTTTCCCTCCCACAAAACAATTAAATAAAAAAAAAATCATGAAAATCAATAATAAAAAAGAAAATTTCTTTGCTCTAAATATTTTAATACCTTTTTGTGAGGAAAGTCATTTATTATCATCTACAATAATAATAATAATACTTATAAAATCACAAATTATTATGTAAACAGTAATCAGAAAAGACTGAATGAATATTTATGAATATACACTATTTAAGACCGATCTAAGTATTTTCACTGTACCTTTGGCCGCCTTTATTTTGAAAACAAACTCAAAGATCATCCCTGAAACCTATTAATTAATTATAAATAACGCTTTGAAACAATAACTATAACCAGGATTTTCAATGAAACAGTTTTGTTTGTTACTCGTACCTTTTTCTATTTAGTGTACTTTGTTTTCATCTTAGAAATGCAGCAGTGACTCAACGCTTCCCCCTGTTGAGCGAAACCCTGTCCTACAGCTGCAAATACACGAAGAGTATTCATAAATCATACGTATAGGCTCACAAAGCTCTTGTTTAGGTCAAAAGGCATTAAGCCCAGAGTCAGAATGGCTTTATCATGCCTGTTTTATTCTGACCCTAGCAGTCGTTCTCTCAGGCTCATCGTGAGGTTTCAGTATGCGTGAGATGTTTCTTAATTTACACCGGCAGCTTCTCTCTTTGGCTCGTGTTGTTGGATCTTTTGAATCACCGACTCTGTTCTCATTGTGTGCCGACAGCTTCTTCATGGGAACATACAATGTGAACGGCCAGAATCCGAAGGAAAGTCTCAGTCCATGGCTGGCATCCTCTGCCACCCCTCCTGACTTCTACCTCGTGGGGTGAGGATCCGCATTAGTATATTTGTGACCCCGGACCACAAAACCAGTCACGAGTCGCACGGGTATATCTGTGGCAATAGCCAACACTACACTGAATGGGTCAAAATTATCGATTTTTCTTTTGTGCCAAAAATCATTAGGATATTAAGTAAAGATCATGTTCCATGAAGATATTTGTGATATTTTCTAAATTTCCTACCATTAATATATAAAACATTTGTGAGTGAGTGCAGCAAAATCGTGAACATAAATGGACGATTTTAAAGGCGATTTTCTCAGTATTTCACATTTTTTGCACCCTCAGATTCCAGATTTTCAAATAAGTTGTATCTCGGCCAAATATTGTACTATCCAAACAAAACCATACATCAACAAAGCTAATTCATTCAGCTTTCAGATGATGTATAAATCTTAATATCAAAAAATTACACCCATGTGACTGGTTTTTGTGGTCCAGGGTCACATATATGATAACGTACACAGTGATGAAGACGTGTGATGAAGACGTGTGTGATTCCCTGCTGTAGTTTCCAGGAGCTGGATCTCAGTAAGGAGGCGTTTCTCTTCAATGAAACTCCTAAAGAGCCAGAGTGGATGCTAGCCGTCTACAAGAGCCTCCATCCAGATGCCAAGTATGCTTTAGTAAGGACCTCCTCTGCCCTCGCACCCATGAGCTCATGTTCAGATCGAACACAAAAACACTGGGTTATTAGGATAGACTTTTGTTATATATGTAGTGGGTTGTCAGTGTTTATAATTTTTACTATTTTGACTGACGGTCACGGAGAAGGCGTCCAGCGTCATTTCCGCCTAGGCGAGTTAAAGGGGGGTGTGGCACAATGGTGTGGGAGACACGCACATGTTTGTTTGGCGTGGAATTGCTGTGAGTGGGAAGAGCTGCTGCACGCTGAGGGTACCGCTTACCGGTTCATGTTGCCAATAATCCCCGGGTAGGTCGTTTGATTTTATTATGTGCAAAAGCAGAGTATTGGTGTTCTTGAGCATGTATGTGTTGTAGTAACCTAACAAGTTTGCCATCGCGTTCGTGACGTGTGATATGACGTGTTCAGTATAAGATAGGACACACTGTGGAGGTAAAGTAATGAAATGATTTATGTGGTTTTATATTTTATAGAAAGATGTATAAATGAAATGTATGGTCCACTCCTAATGTTAATTGTATATTTTAATGGTGTACAAATGTAGATGTGCTGAATGTGTATTATGTTTTGGCAGATTCATCTGGCAGCTGATGGTGCACTACACCACTGTTTTTCCCAGTATTTATGGTTTATTTACAACTGTGTTTGTTTGAATTCGTTTATGTTTGGGTTTGTCAATTTCATGTGAATATGGTATTGGGTTTCTTTTCTTTAGTTGATTTTTGTCCATTGTATAGTGTCTTTGTTACCTTATTTATTTCTTTATTTTGTTTGGCCATTTATGGGGCTTTGTACTGGACGTAACCATATATCCCTTATTAGGAGGTGGTGTGATGCAGTGATAGTGATCTCTTTTGATTCGATGGTTGTGTAGTACATTTGGCACGTGTGTTACAATTTTCCTGGGTTGCACTAAATTAGCGGAGACTGTTATTTCCAGCCCAAGACTTTGTCTAAGTAAATCAATCTGGCCCTTTTATTTTGTTTGGTATTTGTTGAATGGATGTTTATATATGTTTTTTTTTTAAAGAAATAAAGAGACCGTGTACTTCACCAGAGCCTATACTTTCATTTAATTGAACAACTTGAGCGGGTCTACTCCCCCATTAATTAGACTGTGGATAGTCTCCCTGTTACATATACCTCTCATTACATTTTCTTATATTTATGTAATAGGCTGAACAGACATGATTACAATGGAAGACATGTCCTGGAATAAGCGAAAGGTTCTCAATTTGGGACAAGTTCTGGTTAACAGATATATAACATATATATATTAGGGCTGTCAGTTAAACGCGTTATTAACGCCGTTAACGCAACCCCATTTTAACGGCGTACATTTTTTTATCGAGAGATTAACTGTCTTTTTGGCCTAGCAAACTTTGTAGTTTTTTTTTTTCACATGCTTTTGCAACAGGATGCGGCGCTATGAAATCCATTCATTTCAATGGCTTGCGCCGCGCGAGGACGTTTTGTTGCTTCGTCGACCAAAGAGCATTTGATAAGAGCATTAAAATGGGAAAAAAAATAATGGGACAAATAAATCAAGAGACATTTAGAATAGATTAAAAAAAATGTGTGATTAATCGTGAGTTAAATATGACATTAATGCGATGAATCGCGATTAAATATTTGAATCGTTTGACAGCACTAATATATATCTTCTTTTTTTCCTCTTTTTTTTAGGGTGTAAAAAGTAAGCAATTTCTGAAGAAAAAAAACCGCTGTTGAAAGTGGATCAGACCGAGCACCACAACACTCCCCAAGTCAATCAGTAGTAGGGGCCGTGTCCACTCATGATGGGGGAGAAGAGAGTGAGAGAAAGAGGGAAGGAGACATTACAAAAGAAGGGAATATCATTGGAAAAAGAGCAATGAAGGCAGGGGTGTGTTTGTTTGAGTTGATTTTAAATATCCAGTGTTTCTCAGAAATGGCTTACTGCACCTGTAAATGCAGGACTTTTTAAAGTTAACTGTATTTTGTAGACTCTTCGAGTGCAGCAACACACCTTGGAGGCATTGAAGACAGACACATCTTCCTATGGGTTTCAGGTGAAACACAAACATTGGGAATTTACCATGTTATTTTTTAACTTGTATACCATTAAATGTCACATTGTATATGCATTTATTTTTTGTACCTAAAAAGGTGCTTTAAGCCCAATATAAGTTTTTTTACATTTAATTCAGATAACAACAAACGGCACCATTCTTTGCGTCTCAGAAGGAGTGAGGAGAAGAAGAAGCTAGATGCTGCAGTGGAAGAATACAACAGCATCGCGGATCCATCCCAGTCGAAAACT